CAGCATGTGCAGAGTGACTTATGTATCAAGCTTTCCATCTCACCATGGTGGTAATTGGCAAGGTCCGCGTGGGCTCACCACAGAAGGTGAGCAAGCATGGGCAGGACTCTCAGACATGGCATCCAGCAGCTGCAATGAGTGGTTCACTTATGAGGGGCTGGGGTGTCCCTGACTTCAGCTCAGCTCTCTTGCTGCCGCCCTAGCCAGCCGCCCAATCGCCCATTGGTCCCACCTCATCATCCAGCCAAAACACAGCGCGACAAATGCCCCACGTTGATTGGCTGCTGCCGCTTTCGCACAATCCCTGAAGCCGCTCATTCAAACCAGCCACCCAGCAGCACGCAGAAGGTGCCTGCAGTGCCGCCCAGGCCAGGACCAAACGAGGCCTACAGCGACACTGATCTCGTGGCAGAAAAGCGGCCATCTTTTACTCAGACCCTGGCGAAGCTGTTTTCCTTAGATCTTGCATCCTTACAAATGATTCCATCCTCTGTGCAAAAACGTGTCTGTAAGAATGCAAGGTCTAAGGAAAACAGCTTCACCAGCATCTGAGAAAAAGATGGCTGCTTTTCTGTCACGTGGGTCAGCCTGTTCTGGAACTCTGGAGATCTTCTAAAAGGGAGTGATTGGTGATACGGGGTTGATGCAGAAAAAGCCCAAGGAACTATAGGGACCCCATGGGATTGTAAATAGAGCATAAGATATCTCACAGGGAGGCCTTGGATGGATGAAAGCAGGTGGCCTGTTCCAGCACTAGCCCCCCCAATGGTCTTTCCCACCCCAAGATACCTCACGTGCACTTAATGACCTGCACATTCATTTAATAAATGCATTGGAGAAAGAAGGAAGAGGGCTCATTCATTTAACATGATATAATTAATGAATCCTCAGGTTATGAATGTAATTGGCAGGCTCTATTAGATTCATAATTCAAGGATTACCTGTATGTTTTTTGTCTTACTGCATTCATGGCTTAAATGTGCAGTTTTTAAAATATTAAAACACAAAAGCAGATTCATTCTCAATCAAACTTCTTCCCCCACTTTTTATTTTCTATGATACTTCAAAAGCAAGGGTAAGAAAATAAACAAGCAACTTGATAGTTCTGTTTATTTTAACAGGCACAGATTCTCAAGCTTCAGCTTTTCCTTCAAAAAAGGAAATACTGGGAAAGATTTGTCCTCTCCAGATCTAGTCTTGCAGTAGTAGTAAGAGCGGTAGCTGTTTTGATACTGATATTATACTAATCATTAATACAGGAGAAAAATGGGATTCTCAGGCCTCACATCCTTGTTAAATGGCAGCTTTCTATAGTGCGCATCAATCCACTTGATACATATTTACCACAGAAAAGCAGCACTGCATTTTAATTTAAATGTCTTGTTTTTAGCACATGGTAGGTGGAAGAATAAGGAAATAACTTTTCTCAGTGGAAGAAAAAAAAATGTCCTATGGTTAATTTCTACAGTTGACATAAGATCCATATGTTCACCAACTCATCCCAATTATAACTACTGGAATGGGGGAAAAAACCTCCATAACAATAACAATAACAATAACAATAACAAAAAAATCTATTGAACTAGACAGACCAATTTAAGTCACTTTAAGGCAGTTTCATGGGTTCTTCTACCAACCAGGATTTGTAATAAAATGGGGGATGGAATGGCAAGCATTCATTCATCAGAAGAACAAGATTAACCAGGAGACTCAAGTTTCAGAAAAGACTTACATTTTAAAAACCAGAACATTTTATTCCTGCAAGGCACAAAGTGTGCTCTTGCAGCATCTAGCTCTCCCTATAAAAGGATGCAAAAAGTTAAATGAATAATTAGGCACCTAAGAACTACACAGTATTGGAGAAGCAGCCCTTCCAACCTACGTTTATGCTCTTTGATGCGTCAGAACTTTAATGTCAATTAAAAAAATATTCTATTCATTTACATCTTAAGAGATACCGCAGCATATACTTTAACAACTATTGGTATCTTTGCTTTATATGAATTTGCCAATCAAATCAAGAACCTGAGAATATTAGATTTTATAAAGGGAAAAGAAACTTATAATTTTGAAGATGGCATTTTTATTGTTGATCTTCAAAATTCGGTTTTCTACAAAGGAAAGCTATTTCTTGCCCTGAAAAAAAAATCACAAGATCCAGCTATAAATTATTCAGGTAAAATATTAAGACCCAAATCCCTTATAAAGATTATCTATACTAAAGGTTTCCAGAGACATACGGATGCAGTACACAGAACATGCTGGCTACATATCAAAAAGGGAGGATGCCTATGCTTTCATATCTTGCTTGCATGGTTCCCATTGGCATCCAAGTTGACAGTATGATCTGCTCCACCAAAACCCTTCTTTTGAATGGAAACACAGGATTATAAATTTTGCTTGATGGAATGAAAGTATGTTATTTCAAAGTTCTTACATAAAATGCAATGGTTTAAAAACTGCACAGCTGAGTGAGAAAGCTCATATTCAAGACTAATCCAGTCATATGAGTCCAGAAATAAACCAGTATTAGATAAATGTCCCTCTATGCTTTGAGACATCTCCATCTCAACCAAAATATTTACCACTGCACTAAGCCACTGTTACTTAATCTTACCAAATAAGCTAATTGGCTGTGTTCACAGACTATGATAAATCATTCACCAACATTTATAAACCACAATAGCTAGGTCTATAGAGCACGATAAACATTATTGTGGTTATTTGGTTCAGGAAATTATATGCCTCTAATCATTAGAATGGTAAAACTCCTTCAAAAGAGGTGCTTCTAGCTTTGTGGGATCTCAATCAAAGCTCCTCTTTTCACTAAAGTAGCTATAGGGGAAAACCAGGTAGAGATAGCTGGAAGCAGCAGCACAAACTTGAAAAAAGATTGTTGTTTGATTGAGGAAGAGGTGTTTTATACACAGCCTTGTATCTGGAAGCAGCTCTTTCAATGGATTTGCACAGCCTTATTAGATCTTCCTGCACATTTGCTTACTAACTGTTATTGAAACATCTTCAATGTAATGAGATGTATATATATTTGATATGTATCCATTCACTTACAAGAGAGCAGAATCAAAGCCAAGGCAATATATAATGATACCAGTATCAGGCCCCAAGAAAATCCAGAATTGTTTGCCTCTGTCATATTATTAAAAGCAAGCAAATTATTGGTTTACTCAGTAATTCTGCACATCCTGAAGGATAAAAAAAACATGCAGAGTTCTAAAGTTGTGTCACATTGCCACAGCAAATTCTATTATACACCTTAAGATTGCCATATACATTACCCTACAAATTTGCAGGAATATATTCACCAAGGTCAGAGATTTTACCTTTATTATTTGATAAAATGCAAGCTGTGGTTTTCTGAGTATTTGGTTTCAATACTAAATTTTACTGAATATTCACAGGAATACTCATAATTCTGAGCTTGTGCAGGCCACCTAAAGTCAGGGATTAAGGGCAGCCATCCAAAGAGGCAAAAGCTGTTTCTCATTCCAAGTTCTTTATGCCTATAGCTGGCATGTCCTCAGGGCTGGGACAAGATGGAGAACTGGTACTTAAGCTGCTTACTTCTGTTGTACAAATCTTTGGGAAATCACACAAAAAGTCTTGATTTGGGAGGTTCACTTGAAGAAAAGCTATGGAATCAATACTTCCATAATGTCAAGAAACATTGTTCACAGACAGCTAGAAAAACAAGAGCAAAAGCAGACTTGTGCGAGAGGACGTGAGGTAAACAAGCATGTTCCCTGCATAGTAAGAAGTTTCCAAGTGGAAGTAGCATGCAGAAGGCAACACAAAAAATAAAGCATGTTGAGGAAGGGAGGATCTTGCATCTGGACAAACAGCAGCATGGCTCTTTTTTAAGGCAGACTATCACTAATTCATTCAAGGCAATTGGACATACCAATTTCAAAAGCTAAATATTTGCTAACCATGATCAATACTTTAAATTAACAGTTGCTAGCTGAACAAAATGCAGGCCCTGGCTATACCTCCACAAGGACAGAAATCAACCACAGCAACAAAATAAAGTAGCAATGCCAAAATTACTCTGAGGTGAGGTGACACAGAAATGCATGTGACTGGTGATAATGCTACTCAAACACAACAAACTGACATTCAATTGATATCTGAAAGAGACTAAACCAATCATTTACTCAAAGATGGAAGGCTTTGGATCAGCTGTAATACGGCCACAGTATTGCTGATAGGATGAGGACATGGGCTTAGCCATGCAAGTGCTCTTAAATCTGGCTACATATAAGGGAATTTCCCAAAGCTTTCTGCAGCCCTCAATGTATGCCACAGCATGTTCAAAGAGATAAGAATGTCCTAGTGGGTGTGGTGGAATGAAAAAAGAAAAGAACGAATGCAAACATATGAGAATCATTTCACCCTTGAGGAAAACAAAGCACAAGTAGCAGCCTAAGCTATTTTTTCTAAAGTGGCCAGTAGCGATTCCCTTTAACACAGCCAGCACTGCTTGTTAATGTGTTGATGTGCAGTTACATTATGGAGTATACAGTTTTCAACACCTGAGATCTATAACCAGTATGTGTGACTTTTATAAACTCCCTCCCACTCAGGCCATCTCCAGGCATTCTTCTTGCCTTCACAATGTAGTTAATAAATAGCACAAAACCATCTGCACCAAACAAAGCAAGCTGTGGTTTGACCCTGCTTTTTGAAATGTCCAGAAGCTAGCAAGGCCTATGAGAAATTGCAGCGAGCCAGTGTGACAAGGAGCAAGGCACAAGTAAATGGCAACTCTCCAGAGATTGTACTCAAAATCATCTATCTGGGAAAGAGGAGAGGCTGGAGGAACTTGAGTCTCTAAAGCCCTCCTTTAATGTTTATAGAATGAGATGGAGAAGACAGCTGGCACTGGTGCACCCCACTGATAAACTGAAGGTGGTGTCCTGGTGGCATCCTTTGGATCTTCAACTAAGGGATATTTTCTGGAAATATTCAGGGTGCAGCACTTCAGGGAAGGAAAAGCCAGCATGAAGCGCTCATCATTCCGAAAACTAGAGAGTGTAGACTTGATGAATGTTGTAATCCTCATGCTTCTTTCAACAATGGAATATCTGGAAGGGGGGGGGGAGAGAAAAGAATGTTAGATAACCTTTCTATTAGGCTCCAGGCTTCAAAGACAACTCTGCGCAGCCCTGATAGAGTCTAAGAAGTCCATTTGATTTACAAAAGTTCTTATTTAACCAGCCAAGTTTCTATAAAAGCTTGGCATTCTTTAAAACTTTCACTGGCTGTGTTTTTGCAAGGCCTTTTCTTTACAAAAGCCTTAGAGTCTAATAATAAGAACTTCTTTGGACTGACTCAGACAAGAGAACAAACCTTATTTATTCTTCCTAATCGTGGGATCAGACTAAGGCTCCTTCTAATAGTGAGAACTGTACCAGTCAGGGACTGACTTCACCCTGTGTCACTTGAACTCTTGGTCTAGAGAAAATACTGTAAACTAATTATGCACTATGTCATGTCATCTGGCGCTGTAGAGCAGGCAAATTTCCACTGGAAGAACTTCCCCCTTCTGTCACCTCCTTTTTCTGAAGACTATGCTACTTTTTGCAATTTGTTGATTAAAAGAATAAATTGAGCTTGTAGGAGTTACAGACATTTTTATTCCAGTTATCGAAATCCAGATTCAAGACTTATTTCACATTACTTACCATCCATGTACTCCTCTGAGGAAGCAAGCGATAAGAGGCTTTGTACATCACTATTTTCTGAGTCCGAAGTCTCTTTGTGCCCAGATTTATTACTAGATGTGCCAGCCACCCAGGAAGACGTGGTCGCCTGATGCACTAGAACTGTTTCTGAGTGGTGAGAGCTTCCAGCTTCACACAATCCAGAGTGTCCAGGGGTTTCATCCTCCCTAATAAAACCACTGGGACCCACTTGGTCTGGTGGCGGCTGTTGCATTTCCCTTGCCTCACTCTGTCCAGCTCCTTCTGAAAGGACGATCTGTATTCGTGTATCTGAGGATGGTATGCAGTTTCCAGCACTGCCATAGACAGCTTCTTCATAAGATGGCAAAGCTACCTGAACTCCATCCACCATAATAGAAACCTGGTCCCCAGAAACACCTTGATCACGCCTGTGTTTGGAATTCAAAGAAATATTTAGGTACAATGACATAAGCAGCATTTTATGGAACAATAAAATGTACAGGATTAGCAATCCTATTTGTTTCACTGTTGTTTCAGAGGTAAAGGTACTAGTAATAAACTATCTCTGCGCTCTGGTTTTTTCCAAATGTCTTAGGATTGCAATTTTTAGAATTCTCACTGCAGACTAGCATAGCCATCAGATATTTAGTGAACTGTAATGTGAGAGCCAGTTTGCTGTAGTGGTTAAGGTACCAGGCTAGAAACTGGGAGACCATGAGTTCTAGTCCCACATGAAGGCACAAGCTGGATGACTTTATGCCGATCACTCTCTCTTAGTCCTAGGAAGAAGGAAAGGCAAACGCCTGAAACCTCACCAAGAAAACTGCAGGCACTTATCCAGATAGCCACCAAAGTCAACATTGTCTTGAAGCACATATATACAAAACCCCCAATGTATCTATAGGACATTAAATGGAAGAACACTTTAATAAGCCTAAACTAGACCAGGATATGATTGATCTTGGGATTATTTTCAATGAGGTAAGCCAATTCTTTAATGAGCAACACAAACTGTCCCTCTTAACATGGAAGTGCTTATGAAATTGCTGTTAACTGGAATTAAAATTCCTGAACAAAAATTATGCTGAGATGAACCCTTCTTGTTTAAAACTGAAGGGCTAGTCTCTTCATTCCAGTTAAGACTGGTATATACCTAATATATGCTTCCATGTGCCCTCTATTTAACATTATGTTAAATTTGTTGAATGTGTTGCTTCAGAACTTTCCATTGTTTCATTATAATTTTTCCCTCACAGACAGTATTAGGTATTAAAATGCTTTCCATGGTCAATATGTCTCTAGTAGCTGGTGAGCATGAGAAGACACAACCTTTTTTCCAGGTTAAAGCTTTCAGAAACAGGTAGGGATCATTATAGCCATACATTAGGACTGGCTTTTGCAGTAGGCAATTTTGTTGGCAGTGTGATGACTCTATACTTCAAAGGTTTGTCTAGATTTGTCACAGCCTCTCTCCCTAGAAGCTGGTGCTTCTTTAATTATGGTTACAGTAACCAATCCTGTGGATTTTTGAGCCCAGGAAGATAAAATTTTATCTATGTATGGTGAGATTTGTCCCATACCAGCTCTAGGTTTTGGAAGAAAAATGGCTGCCATCTTGCCAAACTAACTACAGTGCCATGGCAATGCCAGGCCAATCTGGGAGCCAAAAATCTCTTAGGATATTTCAGGTTTATAATGGGCAGATGAACACCTTGCTTCTCTTTTTTTGAGAAAAGGGGAAATGTAACAATATAATGTGTAATACATTTCATCCTAAAACCACTTCTTATTTTCTTAGTAATGTTTAACCCAACAATGTAAGATAGAAATAAAAGGAAATAAGAGACCCTGTAAAAATGTATTTATCACCACCTAGTAAATTCATAAATGAGCTGGGGCAGAATTACAAGACTTCTATCTCATAGTTCATAATAATTGCACTATGGCTAAGATACCGGATGCAGATGAAAATATGAGTTAAGGAAGAGAGGCTAGATATGATATGGATATTACATTTCAATGGCAAATTACGTTAGTATTAAATAAAGAGAAAAAGAATGGCTTTATTGATAATCAATTTCCTCATGCTATCCTGGGCCCACAGTCAATTAAGGAAGCATCTATTATTTTATATCCTTATAAACTGTTCGATTTCTATAAATTAGCCATCTCTGCTGGAGTCAGAACTATGGGCTAACTTGACAGATATTGTCTGCCAGGTAAACTGTGAGTCACAGATCTAATTCTGCTTACAGAGACTTCATGATTAGAAATACTTAGCTCTATGCAGCAAGCAGCTCCCTAACAACAGCTAGGCTGACTAGCAACACTACTTCTATATGCAGCCTATATTTCTTGCCAAACTGTACTGAAAAAAAGAAGTCTAAACATCTCCAGACACTGATCTGAATTTCCTACAACCAAACACATTTCACAAAACTGGGCAAGACCTGAAAAGTACATACAGTTTAGAGAAGTCTATTTCAGACAGGGCCATTTGATTTATGACAAACTAATATGGGTAGAGTCAGGCGTTTTTCTGAAAATAAAGTTAAATGGACCCTAGAAAATGCTGCTATCAACAGAGCTGCAGGGATTTATGAAATACCTGTAGAACTGTTTCATATCTTGTAAGATATTGTTAAAATACTGCTGACAGTTCATATGGAAAACATAGCTATGGCCAGAGAATGGTAAATAGGAATCTGTATTTAAAACAACAAAAAAATGACAGTGCCAAAAGATGTTCCAACTACCAAACAATTGCATGTGTTACACACATTCGATGTATAATTGAAAAGGCAAGACAGTCCCCTAAAAGCCACTGATTTTTGTTTTATTGATTATACTAATATTTTTATGTGAACTACAGCAAATTGCAGATAGCCATTAAATACAAGGGCTGGATCACTCTATCCGAATATTTTGAGAATTTTTATGACATCTAGGAAGCATCAGTTAAAATGAAATATAGAACATCACATTGGGTTTAAAATTGGGAGAGGAGTGTATTAAGAAAGTATACTATCACCCTATTTAATTAATATGAAGAACATAAAATGAAAAGCACTGGATTGGAAAACATAAGTTGGAATTAAATTTGCTGGAAGAAATAGACCAAAGTAAAACAACCTGGTGATTAGAAGTGAGGAAGGCTTAACAAATTCCTTGCTAAAATTTTAGAAACGGAATGAAAAAGCCAGTCTGATACAAATACCAAAATATGTCAAGTGTACAAGATCACCTAATGCAAACAGGTGAAGCAGCAGCAACAAATACTACCTTCCTGGGTCCACAGGATTGGTTACTGTAATCATAATTAAAGGAGCACCAGCTTCTAGTAGGCTATGACAAATCTAGACAAACTTTTAAAGTATAGAGACATCACACTGCCAACAAAATTGCTTACTGTCAAACCAGTTCTAATATGACTATAAAAGCTGGAGGATCAAAAAGGCTGAAGAAAAAAACAATGTCACTGAACTGCGGGGCTAGAAAAATAAGAGGACATTAAACAGCAAGAGGATCACTATCATCACCCTAGCATTTTTTCCTACAGGTGCAGGATCCTCTAACATTGGACAGCAAGAAAAATAAATTATTCAACATTATGGAAGCAGAATCAGTCAGCACACTTGAAGGACTAAATAAATATTTTTGCCATATAACATGCTAAGTAAGAGTTGTTGGAAAAGATCCTGATTGAAAAATTACTTGAAAATAAGAGAGGCCAGAATAAGGCAGGCTGGCTAGAGACTATCACTAATATTGCAAGCACGAGCTTATGAGAATTTAAAGCAGTTATGGATAAACAATTCCACTGGATCACAAAATCTTGGAACAGTCTAAATTTCATAGCTTCTTATGTAAGATTGTAGGAGACTGGAAGAGAGAAAAGACTACCTGGATTAAACATACCGGTAAATATTACTCTTCTGATTACTATCTTAAGAAAGCATACAAGGCAGAACATATGGGGCATACCTTCCAAGGGAATTAGCCATGAAGAAACAAAGTAGTGCTCTTACTATAGTCTAACCCACCCACCCAAAGAAAACAACACAAAGTTTTGATCAATTTATTCATTGAATAATTTTTGTAGGATATGATGGGCATGCAATCTTGAAGTTGCATTATCTTCTTCATTAAGAGATATTTCTATCCTGAATCACATTTTTTTCAGCTTCAAAACTACTAAGGTATGTGTCTACTGTTTGATAATTCTTTCCTTTATCTAAGAGAATAATATACAAATAGTCTGGACTACAAAAGTACCTATTAGCAGCGATGATAACTGTTCATTTTAAATAATTAAGCCTGTTTACAAAACTCCCTCTTCCCCTGAAGTGCAGTTTCTACATTGTGCTTGCCAGAGTAAACATACTGACAACAGTCTGTGAGCTCAAGGAATTCCAAGCTTCCTCCCAGCCTTGGAACTTTGAAGCAGGCAGGGAGCAAACAATGCACAGATCTCTTTTTCAAGCTCCAAGAATGGAAGGAAGGCTAGGGGTTCTTCTGGTTTTTGAGTAACGAAGGTGACTCTGATAATGGTGCCTGTCCTGATCATATAGGCAGCCTGGAAAACACAATGTTTGAATATTTTGAATCCCTCCAATAAGCCTTAGGTAAAGTTTCTATTAGAAGAGACCTTGATAATTAGAATCTATTGAGAGCAATGTACTTTGGAAAAAATCTATCCATCATGGAAATAAAAAAAAAATGTCCAGGTATGTATTACACCATAGAGTCCAGTTATTCTTTTGCAATAGAATTCATGATTATTATCTTCAAGATCAAAATGGAAATAGTTTTCCCAAGGAAATAAATGGATTCTTTGCCTAAAAGAATGAGTTCCTGAAGTAGAAAAAAGAGACTGGAGGAAAAACTTGAAAGAAAATAATAAGGAACAATCAGAAAAAAAATGCATGGCTTTCGGTCAATAAAATAATGAGACACTTGTCACCATACTGTACTTATAAGCATTTATATGAAGAGTGGGGATTCTGAAACTTTGTAGACATTACCAAACAAGTTCTAGTATTCTTCATCTTTGACTGGTGTAGCTGAAGAAGCCAAGACCTAGCAGCATCGGAACAGGTTCCCCATCCAATTTACATGCATAAACATCTGCCCATCAAAAACAGCTGATGATTATGTCATCTTCCCAAGTATGATCAACATTAGGATCTATTCTAATTTTTTAGCAGTTCGCAGTACAGTTGACATAACTCATGTGCTATCTCTCAGGCTATTCTGCAGTTAAGTCAACTGTAGCATATAGTGTGAGAACCCTGGCCACTAATTTGCATGGTTTAGGCTACTATGGACATTGAGTTGGTATACACACCACTCTAATCCTAGCAGTTTACTAAAGTGAGCAGCAGCATCAACCCCAGCAGCTAGCCTTCACTTGATACCCAACTAGTCATAATAGCCTCGTCTATTTAGCATCAAGCACAACCTCCACCCCCCACACCTCTCTAACAGAAGAGACCCCCACAAATTCTGAAGAACTCACCTGCTATGATGAAATGACTTCAGTTTTGGTTGTAGCAAGACAAACAATACAACTAAGAGAAGGATGAGAGCGACTGAACTTGCTGTAGTAGCCACTATGGATAAAGTGGGTACTCCTACACTTGGAGGAGAACCTTTATCTACAAAATCAAACAAAAACAGTCAATGGTTTCTCTTTAGGAAGCAGCTGTTTCCTATAAGTAAGACAGAATTCCTGAATAAACTCAGTCCTGATAGCAAGCTGTTTGCATAGGCAGTATTCTTCTCAAGAGAAGCCTGGTTTGGGGTGAAATCTGCTGCAAATACATTCAGAGAGAGACATCCTCAGAGAGATTGTTCCTAGCTGTCAAGTCATGTTCCTTTCAACTAAACTCTCAGGCTGTCTTAGCTGTCTGATAACTCCCAAGCTTCCTATTTTAGGTTAACCGAATTTAAAATCATTTGGATACAAGTCAAAACTATAATGGATATATTCAAGATTTACATTTTTCAAATTTATTTAATTCTAAGGGGAAAAAATAAGCAGCTGAATGATAATTCTGACTATGACTGCATGATTTTAGGCAGAATGTTGTGGGAACATTCCATTGTCAAGTCAAAGCTTGACAATAAGGAGATTGGTATTATTCCTATAATGTGAAGAGTTTTATTTTTGAAGATGAAAAAAGTCCCAAGCTTAGTTTTTTCACAGAACATGAACATTTCAGCTTCAGCATTCATCTGGCCTTCAGGGATTTTGTTTTTCCCCATAAATTTCTATTAAAAGACATCTACTCCTCTCCTACTGCTGCTGCAGTGCCCCCCCCCTCAATTAAAACAACATGACAAATATTTTCTTCCTTTTTTTTGCTTCATATCATGGGAAAGGAATTCTTATCTTACTGATGGAAAAACTTGCAAGACACAATAGTTAAGTTGCTATTGAGAACATTCTTTTCAAGAGAGTCAAGATGGGGCAAGCAACGATCAATTTGGTTCGAAAATCCCTTCCTCTAAAAACACTTCCACAATTTAATTGCTGTGCACTTGCTTCATTTATCTGTCAAATTTGAGAAATCTGAAGCCATCCAACTCTGGAATGAACGGCATATATTAAAATAATAAACCTAGCATAACCTACCAAAAAGTGATACAAGTTTAATTTATTCAGTTTAATATCACCACCTACTCCAGACGAGATCCCAAGACAGCAATAGAAATATAACTCTCATTCACCCAAATTCCCAAAAGAGGGTCACCACACACTAACCCAGGGTTTAGGGGAAGAGTCAAGTCTTCATAGCTTCATAGTTTTCTGAATTACATGGGGAATATACTGCACAGTGGAGCCCATCAAATGGCTTATTTCACTTTGTGTTGTTGCCAGGGTGTGTGTGTGTTTGTTTGTTTTACTGTATTTTTATTGCTTATAAACCGCCTAGATTAGAGTTGCTGTGAGCGAACAGGTGGCTATATAAAATTTCTAAGTAAAAAATATGGTAGCTAAATTGATAGAGAACTGAAATAAGTTTGAAATAAAGATTTATTTTTAGAGGGAATCTTTGCCAATACTTTCCTAAGATGTAGCTAGGATTTTATGTCAGTATCTGAAAACACTGGACAAAAATAAACAGCACAGAAAGCAAAAGTGAGCATATTCACTCAGATATACTGACCTTGACTAAGTCTACAGGTAACCTCCAATTCTGGATTCCACTTGCCATTCTTGCAAGTCAAATATTTGTAATCTCCTTTCAAAACATAACCTTTGTCACAGAAATACTCTATGACACTGTCAGATGTCAGTGGGTCTTTGCAAGGCGTTGGATGACATTTGTAACCTCCATTCTCAGGTTTGGATGGCTGTGGACAGACTGCAAAAGGAAAACAGAAACTGTGACCCCAGGTTTTAAGCAATAAATCCTATTAAAATATGTAGTAACCCAAGACCGCAGCACCACTGCATTTCAACAAACACTGAAACGTAACAAGAATGTAAAACCTAATAAAATATTGTTTT